AGCTTGAAATTATTCCAAACTACAAATAATTGTACATTATTAAATTATATTTGAAGTGGGGCACGTATACTTCATGTCTGTATGATTAAAGGAAAAACATGTTTGCAACTTTTAGCTATTCATTTCAAATCATGCACATTTTACAGTTTGATTTTGGCTGGTTTTGAATGCATGTGTTGGCAAATGTTTTGAGAGGATCGGGGGAAGCAAAGGCAGGAAGTACAGGCTTGTGTACAACACGGTCCCTCAATTCCATTATCACATATAGACCTCCCTAAAAAACAATCTGCTACAGAAATATGAATAAGAAATCTGAGCTAATATTTACATGAAGAGAAATGCAAAAGTGCAACGAATTAAGTATACACAGTTGATTTAACAGCAATCTAACAAGTTGTACTGTGGGTGGAGAACAACACAGAAAATGTGATAATTGCTACTGATTTATCCCAGGAAATCTTCACAAAGACAAATGATTATGTTTTATATTGTCCACATATTATCCAGACCGTACAGTAAGGGTTTCTTTGGATTCAAGAAACTATTCATTCAATTAGTACATTCCCAACTGGATCATGCACTAATCAGCCAGATCTATCAGTCTCAACTCAGTTCATGAACTATTCACAGAATAGAATATATTGGTATCGTGTAGAGGGAGACAAATTGCCCGTATTTTTCTTTCTTTTTCCCGAGATGACATTAAAAAAAGGAAAGTTAGGTTTTGGGAACTAAACCACTTTGCTAGGTTTGAGAAAAACATAATGTTTTGGCTTTAAATAACTAGTTAGGTTTAGGCAACAAAATCACGTAATTAGCAACAAAAACAATCATAAAACCACAACGCGATGTCAAACACTGGGCTCGGGGTTGAAAGTCCTGGGTTTGTTGGACCAATCCACCTCCCCTCCGCCCTGCTATTAGTTAATTTTTTTATTTAAACACTTCGTCACTTGCCCTGCCTGTTGCTTAGTCACGTGAATGCATTTAATTTGTGTGTCCGCCATGAATGTTACAACGAATAAGACCCGGCATCACATTCCTCGCCGATAGCTCCAGCTACTGCGCTGAGCGAACGGGTCCAGGTTCAGTCTCTCCACTGAACTCAGAGAGCCCAAAACTGATATCGACCATCCATTTAATCCCAAAATTTGGCAAACAAGCCCACCCCCAAATTTATGAAGTGAAAAATTGTTACCCTACTCGTAAAGTAATCGCAATAATGTAATGTGTTACTAAATAATGTGTCACAGCACAGCTAACAAAAAAAATACAAGTGAAATTCTGTCTTTACCGTGATGGATTCCACAACCCAGAGCATGCTTATATAATTTCATTTTGTACAGACATTGATGGAAACCAATTGAAATTTAAACAATTTAAAACAGAGCACTGTGATTGTCTTAATGGTTTGCCACCATGTAAAGTGTGGGATATGGGCTAAAGCGTACACGCTGGTCCAGTCTTTTCACACCATACCGTAAACCTTACTCCTCTCCTCTGCGATCTTCACAAATTGTGTGCTTTACCCTGTTTGTTTAGCATGCTCCGAGTGCTTTGCATACGTCTGGTTTCAAGCACGTCTAAACCCAAAACACCTCGGCCCCAACCTGAGCCGCAGTGTGTGGAACACAGCCCTCCAGATTGGAACCCAGCTTGAGGTAAAGGTTAATGGAAGCGACCTGCAGAAACAGAGATTTACAACAACCGCATCTGCTGCGGCAACCTTGGCATCACAACATTCTTTGGACTAAAAACACCTTTCTCTGTGGCCCAAAAACAATAAAAATAACCAAAGGGGAAGTAGAAAACGTTTTATTTTCGTATTGGCGCAGTGTTGGCTGTATAAGCTGTGCCTAGATATTTGCTCGATGATTCACATTCATCTGTGAACCCAAGAAACTCCATGTCAGGTTGAGAATTGCCTTGAGGCAGGTTAAGATGATTCTGCCAGGCTTAAGATCAGAGGAAATGGAAAAAGAAAAGAACACTAGAGAGAACAAGTCCCAGTCTAATGTGAACACGGGAAGGACAGTGCAGAGCTGTCTCTCACCCTGGAGAAAGCCTGAAAATATCTTCTGTTGTCAGAATCACTTAGACAGAACACATGCAGCAGTGAGGGCCTTACATTTACCCATACAGGTGAGTCTTAGAAACATTTTCAGCCTGTTCATCCATCTATATTTCAGATGTTTGTTTACTCTTATTCAACTTATATCTTTAGTATTATAATTTTTTTTTACATTTAACCTATTTTTATCCATCAAAATGATGCTTTGTCAGTGACAGCATGCAGGATGGATGGGCCCATGCACACACTTCTATTTGCTTCCCAGTTCCCATTACTTATGAGCTTATGAATTGCTTCCATGCAATGGAGAAGATTGTCTGTATTTTCAGTCACTGTGTACTATACGTTTGTCTCTGAGAGAGCTCAAGGAGAAGTGCTATTGAAATCACTGACAGCCTCAACATCTGAGACCTGGAAGATTGCCGGGAGGCTGCTTGCTAGGGAGAGCATCCGGCAACAGCTAGCACAAGTTCAGCCAACCAAAAACCCCGGGAGTGTTGTAAAAATTGGCCTTCCTCCCATGAGACCGCTGTTCGTGCCTGAAACGATAAGTCAAGGATGATTTATTTGTCACGTGACGTCCATACTGAAGTAACGGCCCTACTTAGTTTTGTTGGCCAACTAAGTACTTCATGATCTTTTCCTAAACTTAACCGAGTAGTTCTGTTGCCTAAACCCCACTAAGTTGTTTCCTGTAAAGACGGAGGTTTATTTTTTTATTAGACCGTGTGTATGTAATGCGCGAAATGTGACATGTTGCTGAACTTTCGTAGGAAAACGCAAAAAAAAGTGAGGAGTAACTTTCTCGTAAGATATCATTCAAACCATTGGATCAGGGATACATTGGCAGATTATAAACTGTTTCTTTGACCGGCTCTCAGAGGTTCAGAAATGTAGTAGAAATGTTGTTATCTTGCTGCCCTGGCTTTTCTTTGATAACTGACGACTGCAAATTTATATTGTTAGGACCCAGTAGAAGAGGTAAAATACTGCCCCCCCCCCTATTTCTTAAGAGCAGATGGCGAGACGTTACATGTTGCACATTTAAAACTATATTTTGCTCGGGGAGGACACAATCTCTCATGACAGCGACCGGCTACAGTCGGCTGAATATTGTCAAAAAAACCCTCTAAATTACTCTTCTTTTCTCCAGCTGTGCAAATGTTGAATACGACCTACCTGACAGACACTTAAACCAACAAGCAAAGGCAATTCATTGGTAGAGTAAAAGAAAAGGTGAGGGTAAACTACACATAGTTATATTTCTTCAGGATAGACACCACTGCTGTGGGCTGGCACTGTCTCTGTCTCCATAACTTCACAGGGTATTAATTGTTTCAGCGCCGTCAGCAGAATGGCCTCTGCTTGTTGAACCACATCCAGGAGTAAAGTCATCAGACAAATTGCACGGGAGCCAATGCTGAGGCTGAGCCACGGAGCAAGATGCTGAATTTGAAGACGGTGCCGGAGAATCGTCCGAGAGGTGCATTGAAAACAGGTAACCGAGCAGATGAATGGGCGCGGCCGGTCGATAGCATGGGAAATAGCTAATGCATCAGGACGGGATGACTGTAAAATGACGTGATAGAGCTGAGAGATGTCATTGACATTCATGCGACATGTCTCACCGACGCTGATCTACAGTGCTGATTAGTATGCGAGGATATAATATACCATGAGATCAAGTGAAGAGTGGCATTTGGTGGCAGTCACATACCACAGTGATTAGCTGGGAATAAGTGCAAGAGGTGCCGCAGGGTGTAAACCTCTGTGCTAACTTAAAACGCTGGGGGGACACTTTCATTTAAATAGTCCGACCTTCCACAGGGAAAGACATACGTCACCCAGAAGGTTCCATTTAGCAAGGGCTCCAAGAATGTTAGTGGTGGAAGTGGTATTCAGATCCTTTATTGAAGTAAAAGTACTATGATAGAAAACTACTCCATTTCTGGAATTTGGTAATTTGCTAAAGTAAAAGTGCGAACATGTAGCTGGAGCATATACTGGAGTAGCAAACAATACAAGTTCTCTCTGTGATGGTTGGTACATTGAGAATATTAAATCATCATTTCAGCTGTATATATATACACACATATATATATATATATATATATATATATACATACACATATATACAAAGATAGTGAAGAAATAAGTAGTAATTAAAATGCAGAAAAGTTCAAATATGCAAAATGTAAAAACCCAAGTGAAGAACCAGCACTTCTGCCAGTACAAACAAATATATAACAAAAAAGAAAAACAAATTACCAAATAATTCCTGACTTAAGAGTTATTTATAGATGATATGGTTGCATGGAAGCCAGTAGGAGGCAGCTGTATTGCAGTCTGAAAGAAAGGGGGAACATAGATTAGCAACCCAGTGCAGATGCAATCCACATTAAAAATTCAGCTGCCCGTTCCGTCCTTAAATACACCCAAGCTCTAAAAAGGCAGCTGGGGGCGACGCGGAGGGAGGCCGCTGTCGATTAAGTGCCGTTTGCGTTTCCATCCGGGTTGGTGCAGAATGTTAAATAGGATTCTGTTCATGACTTCTGGTTCCGGTCGTTCCCTAGAACCTGTCACTGTTAGAAACGAGGAAGCAGAAACCCTGGGCAGTTCCGAAAATCAGACACATTTCAGCACCAGGGACAGCGTCCTGGAGCTGTCTCTATTGGTTCACAGTATGTAGGTTACTTGATAACTAATTAATTCCTTATTATATACAAATTCCTATCTACCTGCGCATATGCTTAACACAGGATTTTGGAAACACATGAGGCTGTTAAAATAATGAAGGGGTCGCTTGTGATATTTGGTTTTCGGTTCCTCCGTAATGGGGGGGGGGGGGGGGTAGTGTCGGTGTAGTCCGTGGCAGCACCCTCCCCTAACACACGTCGCACCCTCAGACGAGTTCACGGGTCGCGGTCTCGCCAGAAGAGGGCATTCCGATTCTGCCTGACAAAGTTGCATTGACACGCGGACGTGATTAACCACGGCGTCACGCCTGCATTCCAATACCGAGCGGCGACGAGACCGAGAGGAGGATTTGGACCAAAACAATTAAACAGATGGATATTCGGATAGGTGATTGTTCCGCGTAACTCCTTTCACGGCGGTTTCGCAGTGACTTGTGGACAGCCGACCGTTACTTTTGTTTCCTTCTGTGCGCCATGCGCGGATCCGACTGAGCATCCTCGAGGATAGAGACGCCAGGGGTTCACTTGGTTGAGGAATCTAAGGGCTGCTTGACTCATTTTGGAAAATAACGTCTTGTTGGTTTTTCTGTGTGCACCATGCCACCCGATTTGTGAAGTTTCTTTTGCGACAGGATTTCCCCGGATTCTTCGTGTAAGACTGACACGAATCACTTGGCCGTGGCTCCGTTATTGTCTGCGCCTACTGCAGTACTCTTTTTGGCTATAACTTGAAAAAAAAGAGCGATTCTCCCGCTGCGAAGACATGGATACGGAGTTTTGAAACCGGATATTTCTTTTAATCTGGAGTTGGAAGTAAATGACATTCGCCCCGGTTTGGCTGCGCGGTTATAGATGCAGAACTAAACCGGATAGCACAACCAGGTCCGGGAGAGTAAAAAAAGGGCAGGTGCGCTCTGGAAATCGGCGGCTGCGCGGAGAGACCGGGCTAGTGGATTAGGACGGTACCTGTCTGTGGAGAGCGCGTCATGCGGACTCGGATGTCGCGCACCAGAAGCCATTAAAACCTGTAGGCTGGAGCTGACAGAGACGCGGACATGGGTGAGTTCTGTTTCGTGTTATCATCTTTCATCATATTCAAAAAATATATATTTATATATATTCTCCAGCTGTCTTTCTCACAATACAACACGAGGACGCCTCTGTGTCTCTTCCGAGCGGAACCTGGGTTACATGTGTGCATCAAAAACGGTCTTCTTTTTTTTCAAAATGCACACTTGCAATGTCTAGTATGGGGGTTTGGTGTATTTTGTGAAGTGGTTCGGGGAGCTTGAAGGATGTGGCTGAAGCCTGTTAGTCGCAGAGCTGCAATGTGTTTTTCTCCTCCATTTCTTGCTGGTATGTGGCTTATTAGAGCCTCTACTTATACTTGTATTGCACAACGCTGTGCGCTAAAATATTTGGTTCAACAATCGCTAGCAGAGCAAATAAGCTCGTGTGTCTAAATGAGGTCTATCCTTTTTTCTTTTTTTCCCCTTGACTAGTTAGAGTCGCCGGCTCATTGGCGTGGACTGAAATGCTAATCACGGCAAACGCTGGACGCCAGTCAACTTTATAAAGCGTGGCCCTGCATAATCATTGATTTGGGCTTAATCTGTGCGCACGAAGCCCCATTGTCCAGTTTCAGCCCGGTGCTGACGCCTCCCCCGAAACTCTTTGCGGGCTGAAGGCGCGGGGGTCGTGCAGGTTTTTTTCTTCTTTTTTTTTTGCTTAGTGGACTGATTTTCATTCAGAGACAGCCGTCGTGTTCTGCACCTGGCACCGAGAGGGACTCTCCAAAATCCAGCAGAAAACTGCGCGTCCATCTATCAATATACTCTGCGTCTGTGTGTGTGTGTGTGTGTGTGTGTGTTTGCAGGCGTGTGTGTGTAAACACCTCACTCTTTCAGCAATGCATCATCTTGTTTCTCTGTCTGCGCGCGTGCACGTGTTTCAACCACCTTGTTCGCAATCATATATAATGAGAATTAACCATTTTTCGCCCCGATCTGTGTCCTTTACGCGTGCGCCAGTTGCACACTCGTAGCCCCCCCCCACACACACACACGCACTTTGTCCCTCTCCTGGTATTTAACTGTTAGCTGTGTGGTAGTAATTCATGCCTTTCCTCCAGAAAAAAATCAAATCAAACATTGAGCTTCTTCTCCTCCATCTTTTGTTTTTGCATTGTCTCGGTCTGATTTCATTGTCTGGGCTTGCCCTAATCTCCTCAGCCATCCTTAACTGGTATACAGATGGCCAAGTTCACTGGTGGTGCTGTGCCATTAATTGCGAGGCCGCATGATGTATCGACCCACGGTGGGTTACTGCACCACATCAATATAAGCTACAACAGCGCAGAAAAGCCATACAGTATGGGCCGGTGGGAGCTCAGATGTAATTTATGTGTGCTGCAAAGCAACCATATATTGTTAATCATAGAGGTCCATTTTATGGGCCCCCGTTCCTTAATTTAATACCAGAGCGTGTCAAAAGAACCCTGCATAGTTGACGTGCAGAGATTTTTTGCTCCAAACGTATTTCAAGTCCAGGGGTTCAGGCCAGCCCCCGAAACTGCAACTCTTGTCGACCACACAGCTTCACGCTGGTGCCCACAATTATTTCATGATTATGCGTCGCCATAATCTCAGTCATCCGCCAGTGTAGCTGACAGCGATGCTCTTCATTAGCAGCATGCAATGCACTTATGTTTCATGGGCCATATCATTGGAGATCTCCCTTGCAGGAGAACAGTAGGGTGGGGGTTGTAAAAATTAAATAAATAAATAAAAAGCCACAGCCAATGAGGCGGTTGCAGAGCTTTAAGATGAATTCACAGGCCTGAATGACATCCAACATGGTGTCTGCATTATACAAAATAAAAACAGATGCACTGTTTCTTTGCATCCGTGCGACAGTGGCTTGTCCGGTGAGCTCACAGTACTCAGTGTTATGGGCAACAGATGACATTCTTCTAGCCCTCCAGCATCCAACAGGTAGCATTTTTGAAATGCCATGGTAAAGCAAGTCAAGGGCCGGGGATTAAAAGGCCCTTAGAGGGCAATATGGGGCCTTTTCTTATTGACATTTACTTATTTTGAAACGAAAAAAAATCAATTGCTTGTGAGGCGCTTGGGATCCAGCATTCATAACCTGCAATATACATGCTGATCCTGTCCAGGTTCTTAGGGCCTGGATGCATTGAGCTACACCCTGGAAAGGTTTGCCAGTAACATTTCATACGTGTACTAATGCAATCTAATCATCAGCAATGTTAGGCAATAGTCCCAGTCAAAGAGATATAAATATACTGTTTTTTATTTTATCTACAAGAACACAGTTTACATGGAGGAAGTCAGTTACAATGCTAATCTAAACCCTAAAACAGATCATTGAGGAAGTGTGGGGAAATCAAATGTGATCCTCACAAATGAAAAACCAGAGCAAGGCCAATTTTCTACTTGCAGAGTTATGCATGTTTTTATTGTTCCTTTGCTCTTTTGTCGGGGGGGTGTTGCGCAGTCAAGAAAGCAATCCCATCACTATGGATTCATTAGTTCAATCTGACAAGGATGCTGTTCTTTTGTTGGGTATCTGAGCTATTGAAGGATGACATGGTAGAATAAAAACAAAGCACAACCTTGACATATGAGGTCAAAAAGTTTGTATTGAGCCCTGAACAGGAGGAAAGCTGTTGCATGGTTACTGTTCATTTACCTTTTGTTCTCCAAACTGGATGGGACAAGGGTTGGGTGATCACTTCTACTTTCACATCATCCATTTGGGGTTACTCGAGATCGCCAATAGGCCATCTCAATCGCCAGGGGGGCGGAGTGGGAGAGGGTGTTATGTCACAGCACGCTAGTGAAATGCCATCATGGAAGACTTTGTCTTTGTGTCAAAAAAATATGTAGTATCTTGTATTTGGGGATCAGATGGGTTTTACCCAGATGTCACGTAAATTCAATGCATAAGTAATGCCACTTCCATAGTTACTTTTACCAAAACAACAATCTTTTCTTAAACCTAACTAAATATTTTGTTACCTGCGACCCAAAACCAAGATGGCAAAGGCCAAAATGACTACATATCACAAACCAATGAGTGACGTCACAGTGATTATGTCCACTTCTTGTATTCAGTCTATGGTTCCAACTCACACAAGCTCCGCCCTCTGTTAGAGGCCATGCATAGTACTCTTCTCCAATCACAGGCGTGCATTTAGTCCAGTCGAGGGCCAAGGCTGAGTTTATTGAGCTAGACTTACAGTACTGTAACCTTCCTATAAATTACGTGGATATACATTGATAAAAAGAGTGTGAACATTTTATGTAAAACATTGAAAAAAAATTGAAAATTTCTATTCATAAAACAAGCTCCCTTTTAAAAGCCTGGGAGTCTGGGCATAGTGCGACAATACCACAACCTACTTGTTCCATTTACCATCAATATATTATTTTAATATCTCAATATAAATCACATCCCTAATGTTAACTACTCTTATGGAGCGCAAAGCAACATTCGTTGAGTGGGCATATGGATATCCATGGAAAAGAGACGGCAAACTGGTTCATAATGAAGGATTTAATATTCACTTGTAGCTCGTGATGATTAATTGCGCTCAGTGGGTGGACATGCCATTCCACCGGAAACATCTCTAAATACACAGTGGGTCTCAGATTATAGAGATTTTTTAAAATAACATATTGGGTCTGATAGCAAGTTAGTTAAAATCGCTTTAATATCGGTGTAGAAAAAAAAAATCGATGTATACGATCCGATCGCCAACCCGCATTAGCCTAGATTGTACATTAATTTCAGTCTCGAAAACTTTGGGAGATATAGCATTATAATGCGTCATCACAGTAACCATAATGAAAAGTAGCCTATTAGGGCAAGATAGGGCAAGAGACTTTCTCCACTGCGGTACAGTGAAGAGTGAAGTTCGATTGGTCATACTGTGTGTGTCTGTGTGTGTGTGTGTTCACAGTATTCATGACAATACTCCCTGTAGTGCATTTCCATCTTCTACCCTAATCAGTGCTACAAATACAAGACGGGCACGCCAGGACACACTGTTTCCCAACCACTGTTGAGATGGGCCTAACTTGGCAGGCCTTGCTATCATCTCAAAGATAATTGGAGACTAATAGGATGGCTTAGGCTGGTCCGGGGACGTCCTTCCCTGTGTGTTCGGCTCTTGTCCAGCCTTTATGTGCAGTCAAGGCTGAGGCTGGTAGCTGCTTTGTCAATGACAGGCAGCAGATAGCAATGAGCCACTAGTGTGCACTCATAGTGCACCAGTTAGCGAGTCCATTTGCCAAGTTATTAAGCTACATTTGGTTTTATTTTAGGTCAGCAGTAAAGTGCACTTACTCTCTCCATGCGTTAGGGTTGAGAGGCAGAAAACGGCTATCTTCCCGTGCTGAGGACAGCAAGGCCGTCTGCTACACAACTAAGCTTGACGAACATGCCTTGAGACAAACTTGAGCTTTGACTCTTCCGTTCGTATTAGATCCAGACAGATAAACTGCAGAGGGTGACACATAAAAAATGAGAATCACAGGTGTCCTAAAAGCTGGATCTGATCGAGGCAAGGAAAAAAAGACGTTTGGAGGGCGAAAATGGAAATCAGCAAGGGAAGCGAAAGGGCCGCGGAGATGCATAAAGAATAGGCATCACATTCTAGCAACAGCCTGATGGCAGCATGGTTCAAGGACGTGAATAACTAGCATATTTTCAAAAAGGACAGAGAACAGAATGAGGGAGAAATTATTCATCCCACTAGATCCTGCATAAGAACAGTAATGGTGAGAGGTGCATCAGGTAAGAGGTAATGGACACACAAACCTCACGATGTGACAGCTCAAAGGGTGACTTGTGCTCCTTTGTGAATAAGATAAGAGGAGTACAAGGGAAGGAGACGACTTACAGAGGCATTAGAGCACAGGGCGCTCATTAAACCGCATACAGTGTGTGTGTGTGTGGGGTGGGTGGTGGTCTTGTGAGGCAGGCTCAGTCTGAAAGAGATGGCGAGTCACTTCTAATAAAACAAGCCTATTATGCACATGGTAAATAAAAGCAATAGGGGTCTGTTTCTGCAGCCTCCTGGGAGTCACGAGTCAGACACAAAATTTAGAAAGCATGCATTCATGTTAAACAGCCCACACATTCTGTTCCCCAGTCTATTAAAATTGCTTTAAATGCACATGGAACATTACACATGGCCAGTGTTCTATATCGGCATTCGTCTGCCGTTTCTACCTTTTTTTCCTTTGATGCACAGTGTTGTTGGCAAATTAGTTGAAGCTACATTCAGAAACCTGGCCTGTAAAAAAGCAAACAAATTGGCTGCACTCGGATGTACTGCGTCTTGTGATCGCCGTCTTTTCTCTCCGCAACGTTCACGGGAATGTGTCGCAGTTGTTGGAATCCAAGATGAAGAAAGGTGATTGATGCATCTGCTGGTATAATCAATAGCCAGCACAAATTATCTGTACAGTTCCATGGTTCCCTCCATCTGTAAGGAATGATGAAAGATTCCTCTGAAAAACAAACAGTAAGTGTGTCTCCCTCCCTCAGTCACACTCTCAGTCAATACCCATATGGGATCAGCAGATGCTTGGCAAGGAGCGGAATGGCTATGTTAGTTAGCATATGCTCCATGATGCCTCTCAGCCACTCTATGTCAGGGAATTATTTCTGACAAATCCTGCAAAGATTACAGAAAACACTTGAAAAATCCAAATAACGCTCATTGCCTGAACTGTACCGGTTATTCCATGTTTTTAGCTCATCCTCAATGCAACACATTCATTTCTGTTACAAAAATCATCATGGTGCGTGCCAACACATTTTGTCAGCTATTTAAAGTGTGGACTACTTCCATTGTGACATATTAATATGATCTCACTATGATAGTGGTAATAAAGTCCACACTTGATGATATTGCCTTGAGAGACACATATAAGTAGTGAATCCCAACATACCACGCCCTCAAGGGGGAATCAATGCATCTTAATGACACATCATTAGTGGCTCTGTAAAGGGGAACGATTTTAATGGAAACAACTCTGTCTCACCTCAGAACAAGGAATGATATCAGAGGGAGCTACTGACCACTGCTTTTCACTTTTCAGATAGTATTTGAAGCCCTGCTGCACACACACACACACACACACACACACACACACACACACACACACACACACAGAATCATGTTTCCATGACTTTTGGGGACATTACATTGACTTACACTCATTTGCTGGAGACTTACCACACCAGCTACCAGCTTTTTCCTCACCCTTACCCTAAACTTACCCTAAACCTAAACATACCCTAACCTTAAAGCAAGTCTTCACCATAAAATGTAATGACTTACGTTATGGAAAAGCAATTAATCCCCAAAAGTAAGGCTAGTCCACACAATGTGACGGTCTAAACAGAGCAATGTTCCCATAGGACAGGTAAAACACGCCTACACACACACACACACACACACACACAATTAAGAAATTTACAGCATAGAACAATAGCAATTCTCCACAGACACATTTTGGCATTCAGTTAGTTGTTTTCTGCAGCACAGATGAGTTCTGTAATTCCATAGGGTTTATAGTGATTTCTTTAATCTGAACCAGTGGACAGCAGAATCGATGATTCATGCTGAACCTGTGCTCCTTCGGTTTTGGTTATACATGAAATGGCTGGAATTTTGAATTGAAAACGCCTCCGGGATTGTATGCACAACCACCAGCCCCTGAATGATAATTTGCTCTGTACACGCTGCCTTTCACGACTTATCTGCCTCTGCCATTGGTGCAATGATGGCTTATGGGTTGACGGAATACAAACACAGATAGAGATATGACTGAGTAAGTTGTAAGTTGCTTCGCCTCAACACTGGTTGTCAGTGTGTATTCGTTGTGAACATGCAGGGGCAAATTACATTAATTGAAACAGATAAGAGCATGTTATTTGAGGTCATGCATCCACACAATGTTCTGCATCTGATAAAATGTTTTTGTGATTTGAAATAAGACTTTGGCTATACTATTCGCTCATTAAGTGGGAAAATTCTATTTTCAAAAGAACCAATATTACTTAGTATATAACAGCTCCTACTGCTTTAAAATAAATCAATAAAAACGTACAGTCAATTCAAATTAACAAGTCAGTCTCCAAAGTTTTAAGTCACAGTAAAATCACAGTAATGATCATGGTCATGATTAGACACAAGTCATGAACCCTCGGGGTCCAAACAAGTCATGCTGTAAAACTAAGCTTGTGAGATGTACTTTGGTTATTGTAGATGACAAATCCCTTTACATCTACTGAAGCTAAAGAGGCGTCTATCTTTACTAGGCAAGGCTTCCTTTGCCCCAACCTACATAGAAGTTGCACTGTGGAGTTTTGTAAAAAATATCTATAGCTGCAGTGGTGGTTTGAAGGCACCACGTTTGATGACTTACTGTAAAGGACATTCTCCTCAATTGTAAAATGGGATGTGACTGGACCTAAGTGTCAATAGTTGTGTCGTAAGGATGGTGAACAAAGGTCCGTGTGGGGTGAGGTGTTAACAATGTATTTTACAACCTTGGAGACTGAACATTTTCAGAGGTTGATTTACAACACTGCTGTGACAGTTGAGTGGAAGTAGGGGGTTCCCAAGAAAAGGAAAAATGGAAACTGGAAATACTGAATGGACAACCAGTTTTGAAGGTAACAAATTCTGAAAAGTGACCCTGACAAGTGGACCTCATTGTTAAATTCTGGCAACTCCACATCAATCAGTATATGGAAGAGTCTTCCTTCCTCTAGTGTAAGGGGCAGAACTGGCAGGCATGATGAGTCACAAGTGGATTTTAAAAAAAGGGGTTATATACCCCAACATCAAGCCAGCAATTGTCAAAATAAGTAAATTAGGTCTGAGCTCATCAAAGGGGTCAACTAAACAGAACTACACTCAGGCTACAATAACTTAACATAAATGGATGAGAACTGAACAGACTAAACTGACCTAATAATGAAAAAAAGTCACCAAACAAACTGAACTCAAAGGGTGGTGGATGATGGACCATTATATTTGATGCCGTTTCTGGATACCTCTTCAGTAGTGGTAAGCAAAACCGCAGAGTTTGCTGTGGCTCAAGTTTGTATCGGCAATAAGTCAGGTCTGGATGTGTTGAAATATATTCTTATTTTCTTTTGGAGAAAACAACAACCATTGGTTGGTGAACACCATCATTTCCAATACTGAACACAAGGACAAAAAATAAGCTACTCAGTTTGTAGCATGCTTTTGTTTACCTAAGGAGAATTATAAATGCTGGTTTAGGGTTTCTTTAATAAACTCATCTGCTTAACTTTTTTTTCTCCTTTGCCATTTTCCTCTCCCCCTCCCCCTTCCCCTTCCTGTAGGCTCAGCTTTGCGGCGTCGCTGGTTAGTGGTCCAACTCCTGATGCAGGTGTGGCTGGCGGCAAATCCATCTCTGAGTGAGCGCGCATGCCCCAAGAGTTGTCGTTGTGATGGAAAAATTGTCTATTGTGAGTCAAGCGCCTTTCGTGATGTCCCCAAGAACCTCTCAGGAGGCTGCGAAGGCCTGTCTTTACGGTACAACAGCCTTGTCAGTCTTCGCGCAGGCCAGTTTGTAGGCCTCAACCACCTCATCTGGCTCTACTTGGACCACAATTACATTGCCTCTGTGGATGGATTGGCCTTTCAGGGGGTCCGCAGGCTCAAAGAGCTGATCCTGAGTTCCAACAAAATCACGTCGCTCCACAATACCACATTCCACCCTGTCCCCAATTTGCGTAACCTGGACCTGTCATACAACAAGTTGCAAGCCTTGCAGCCTGGGCAGTTCCAAGGCCTACGGAAGCTTCTCAGCCTTCACATACGCTCAAATTCTCTAAAAACTGTCCCAGTGCGTCTGTTCCAAGATTGCAGAAATCTTGAGTTCCTGGATCTGGGTTACAACCGCTTGCGCAGTATCACTCGGAATGCCTTTTCAGGCCTAGTCAAGCTCACTGAGCTGCATTTGGAGCATAACCAGTTCTCAAAGATCAATTTCTCCCACTTCCCTCGCCTCTACAATCTGCGGGCACTTTACTTGCAGTGGAATCGAATTCGCTCAATGAACCAGGGCCTCACCTGGACCTGGGCCTCCATCCAGAAACTGGATCTGTCTGGAAATGATTTGATGGAAGTGGATGCTGTTGTTTACCAATGTCTACCTAACCTGCAGACCCTCAACCTGGACTCCAACAAGCTGACCAATGTCTCGCAGGAGGTGGTTGATGCCTGGATCTCTTTGACTACGATAAGCTTAGCTGGGAATGTATGGGACTGTGGGCCTGCCATGTGTCCTCTGGCGGCCTGGCTGAGAAACTTCAGAGGGGCAAAGGAGACCACAATGATCTGTGCCTCCCCCAAGAAAGCCCAGGGGGAGAAAGTGATGGATGCTGTCGAAGCTTTTGGTGTTTGTCAATCAAATCCAGCGACAACGCTCACTGTGAGTATCCCTCCAACCCCATCCAGAGTCCCTTTGCAGACTGAACGCCGACCAGCCATTCTGGCTTCACCTACTGGTTCTGGAAAGAGAGGAGAGGGATCTATCAGGGGTCCCACATTGTCAGCTGTTACCCCACCTGTGGCCCTTCCCCCAGAGCAAGACATGGAGCCTGTGTCCTTTCACAAGATTGTGGCTGGAAGCGTTGCCCTTTTTCTATCTGTTGCGATGATCCTGTTGGTGATCTACGTGTCTTGGAAGCGCTATCCTAGCAGTGTGAAGCAGCTGCAGGAGCATTCGGCAGCAGCCCGCAAACGCCGCAAGAAAGCTAGAGAGACGGAGCGCACCCTGAGCTCTCCACTTCAGGAGTACTATGTGGACTACAAGCCCACCAACTCTGAGGCCATGGATGTGCTTGTGAATGGGACCGGACCCTGCACCTATACCATCTCAGGCTCCCGAGAATGCGAGGTATGACCCACACCACCGCCACTCCTCCTAAACAAAACTCTGTCCACAGCGCTGCGACCAGAGGTAATTATTTACACTGCTTTGATAGATGATTACATCTACTACTTGATTACTTAGCCACACAGCAGGTTAGGTAAACACTATGTACACATGGATTATTACAGAAGTGGTTTAGCATCACTTTGTGTACTACGAGATATCTGCTGTTTTCAGATGCTTGTTTGCATATTCGCTTAAACCTTAATCTCTGCTGAGTTTGTTTTGCTGCAAAAAAAGTGAACAGACATACAGATAAATGAGACTGATTGCATTTCCTATTACGCATAATCTTGAGCCTCAGCAATTCCGTTTGTGATGATATATTTGTGCTTGTTTAGATACTTGTTTGCTTGTTTTTTTGCTCGGGTATCACAGGCTTTGAGCTTTGTGTGTTTGCTCTACTGCTATTCAATCTTTGATGAGCAGTATTGTGTAGGGACAATAGCTGAATGGTGGTTAGATTCACTTCTGGACACTGGATGTGAATGCTAAAAGAGACTCTTGTCACTGAATAGAGCTTCCCCTGAGCATATGACTGTACACTTTTCTTGACATAGCTATGGCTCAAGACAGTTGGAAAAGACTTAATGCCCATAGTCTCCCAATAGCACATCCTTCTCTGATATGTTTCCTTCATTTTCACACGGACTTGCTGAAGTTACTCACTGCCTAATCGATTAGTCACACAAACTGAAATGCATGCTTTCACTGGCCATCCACCATTTAACTAACACAGGGATAGGAAAAAAATTCACATTTTGTGACAAACAGACACAGAAAGAAGTAACGTTTGATACTCCTGAAAGGAGTGGGACTCCTTTGAAATGTTTTGTTCACTGGCAAGTGAATTTCTTCAAAACAGTTTTTACAGACTACAGCAATGTGGGAATACTACTTTTCTCCCTTTGCTTTCAGCTGCTGCACTCTTGTGTAGCTGACATACTGTACCATTCTTGGTTAAACATTGTATTCTACTGCTGAGTTTATCCAGGTTTTCCGCAGTATATCTAATCAAAACTTGTGGAGGAACGTATTCATCATCAATGATTATGTTGATGGCATATTTGTAGCGGGGAGTAAAGAAAGGGCTAAGCCCACACAGATGATTAGGTAGCCCACCATCGGAAGCTGCAACCCAAGCGACATAAGACATATTTTGGTTAAGCTCTCTATATATTTTCACATTACCAGCCCACTCATACTAAGTCTAGTTCCAAGATTCCTTCGGCATTTCCATCACATGAATTTCTGGCAGGCTCTCTCCGGAGGAATGACTATAAATGCAGAGGTTTAAACAGCATGGCGGAGGAGGAGGACTCTATACCTCAAATTATTTTCGATTTATGTTACTGCCCGTCTGGCTTTCCTGCAGGTCCCCTGGTAATATGTTATACTTGCAGGACTGTGAAGAGGGACCACCAATCACAGCTGCCATTTTGTTGTTATTTGCCCTGCCCTCTCCCACATATGCTTTCGGTGCCTCCTTGCAGCCTACAGTGCTGTTTTCTGTTTGAATGTTAGACTCCATTGAAAGTGATGTTGGATGGATGGAAGGGGAAAAAAGAGGATGCTGCAGTCAATTTTCAACGGCTGTACTTCAATGCTGTACAAACATCCATTTGAATTATGCGTTTTTCACATTATTGCATTTTGATTATCTATAGGAGAAAGGCATGAGTTGCAATAAAGATGAATATTCTCAATTACCGAAAAAGGGAAAAAAGTTATATGGATACGGATTACATTTTGATATCCTTTGTCAGATGAAGATAGTTGTAATTAAAACATAATTGAAAATAGTAATCAATATGGACTCCTGGATTCTCACTGTGTCTACACCATATTTAAATGTGTCTCAGGGAACTAAATAACAGACAACAAGCATATGTTACCATTGTTTGGTAGAGAACTGCTAATGCTGACAGCTACATGATAATATACAAACAATTCAAAGGTAGATGAAGGCGAACAAAAAAGTGCATTGATTGCCTTCCTCTTGTCCCGTCACAAGGGATAAAATGGCTAATTGTTTTCACACTCATATTGCACATATAGAAAGTATCTATAAAAAGGTGCCCCCCCAACCTCACCTCAATTTCTCTCTAAGGGACCCCCACACAAACTACCTTGCAGCCTCTCCATCAGCGTAAGCTAGAAGCAGGCCTGCAATTTACCATTGAAATCATTGCGTCTATCATTAGCCTTTTATCTTGACTTGATTGAACTTGGCAATTTAGCTGGCTCTTTTATCTTTCATCTGTGAGCAAAATAAAGCAGGAATTAACCCAGACTAAGAGGGGCAAGGGCCAAATCAACATTAGAGAGCCAGCCGAGTGTAACAACTCACTGGAAAATAAGGTACTGGAAATATCTGTGACTCATAGACAAGGGTATAGGAATCGTCAACAAAAAAATAAGATGCAGAAGAAAAGAGTTTAAGTTTTGTCATTTAGGGCAAATCAGGAGTAGATCAAGTAATTCAATGAAAAGGTGGATAAAGGAGAGAGTAAGTGAAGTGAGCCATTCTCTCTACAAAAGTACACAGTAAAAAATAAATATATTGCCAACATGGTAAGGCTCCCAATAGAAAGTTGACACAGTCTCATGAACCACAATTAAATCAAATGATCTCCAGTAGGTTCATTCATTCTGATTAACCGACTCCCTAAGCTAAGGAGGGAATCCGGCACCACACACAGGTGATGTAAATCAGGCCATTAGCTGAATTATTTTTTGTACTCTTATGAATGTGAGGTTTGTTAACATTCTGTAAATATCAATAAAAATACATGTGAACAAAGCTAATCAAAGCATCAATAATTACTGGAAAAAAAAGTAACACTAGATGCAATATGGAGCCCTACGGTCCACATCCTTACCTTCTTTTGGTCTTCTTTTGTTAACACTGCAACAGAGTAATGCATTGTTGAAAATGATTACATTAAAGTATTATATTCTTTCTGCTAATTAATTCAATACACCTGTAGGGGATTGTTACTGTCAGCACTGTGGCATGTTGGCCTCCGGTCTCTTACAGCTACAGCCTCTCTGTAGCCATATTGCGTGTAAAGCGTTTAAACTCTTTGTGTGAACACCTGGAGGAGAAGCGAGTGAAGGCCCGGCTTCCTTTTCTCTCCCTCCGCTCTCCTCCATTTTGTTTCTTGAGATATATCCTTGGGAATGCATTCTTTCCAGCCTTATCTGTCCCTCTGTATCGTCCCTAAAACATTGCGGAGGGCGGACGGGAACTATCAGTCAGCGGTCCCAAGCTCATCTCAGAATGTGCTCCGATCTGGTTCCTACATTCCGCTGCTCTCGCGTGGACATAAATCACTCGGCGAGAAGGGGGCGGCAGCACCTGCACTTGCTCTCTCCACCACCTCACATCCCCGGCTGCATCTCCTTCAGGCTCCAGGCCGTGGCGGCTCGGGGCCTGTTCATCTCCTCTGAGCTAGAATTGTTTATACCCTCCCGTGTGTCACTCATACCTTTTTCTATCATTTGGATTCCGTGCCATCACCATAACTCACCGTGAACCTCTCCACATGATTGTCCTTTATCAGCCCCCAGGTCCAACCCTGACATGGATGCGTGGTCGGTAGCCTTTCAAGTGAATTGCCAATCCTCATTTTTCCGATGTCACTTCAACCTTCCCACAGCGAGGCTTATTTGTATCACTTCACCCCCATCTTCTGTGCCACTCATGTTTCCTTTTCATGTCTCAACATCACTATTCCGTTCTTTGCATTTTTTTTTCTGTATTCCATCTCGAACCTGGCCACACTACAAGTTTAGACATTTAAAAAACAAAAACAATTCCTTTCTCATTTCCTTTCACTTTGCTCAATCTGTCTAGCAGCTCATATCATCATCCGTTGACCTCCGCTCATTTGTTGTATCCTGCCCCCTTTGGTGGTCTGAACCCCAGTGAGTAAGTGATAGAGAAGTGGCCGAAATCTTCTTTTTTTCTAAATGCTTTGGTGATATGCCAAGCCTGTTCTGCCATCTACCCAGCAGTTCTATCCCTAATTGACTCAGTACTGTCTCATCTTACCCAACATTTCTGCAGGCAGGACATGCTATTTTCCCTCTTTCGACTCTACCTCCTCAGCTCTTCCTTTGTTACTGCTGCTGACCTTTACCAAACTGCAATCTCATCCACTTGCTGTAATGTCACACTGCATTTAGCTGTTTTTGAATTAATTAATGTTGTGCCTATTTTTGAGAAACTCTGACATCTGATGCGAAAACCTAGACAAATGATACCGCACCTACTTCTCCTGAATGTGCTGCCCTTTAACCAACTTACTCAATAGGTCTTACAATGCTGAGGTTGCTCTCATTGCACTCACAATTGTAACTCGCTACAGCAAAGAGGGAAATTACTCAAACTCTTTGAACCTACTGTGCTACAGTATTCATGGTACACATGCTGAACTTTGACCTTGCATTTGCTTTAATTGGCTCTTACAGCCTTAACAAAGTGGGGGGTTTCTTTTTTTTTTTTTTTTCCAAATAAATATATTTTATCAAACCGCTGTTTTGGACATGAATACATTCACACAAAACATGACTATTCCGTGGTGAAAAAATTATATTTTTCTCTGGGCGTTCCCAACGAGAACAAAGGCATCAACCAATCACATGCGGAACAGACTTATTTAATACGTACACTACGTTATACAGTAAAACGGCAACAGACTGCCAGACATTGCTCTTGGCCAATAGGATCTTGGTAGTTGATCTTCTATTCAAATCTTTTATTAAAAAAGTGTTACAACTGTCAAATTCCCATATAGCCAGGCACGTTGTTTATCGAGCAAACGCGGGGAATGCTAGACACCGTTCCACTATGAATAGCAAAATACATGCTAGCTGTAGCACTAATGCTTGGACTCATGCCGATGACGTTCCCCTTTATATTCCATCCTGGTACTCAGAATTAAAGCAAAAGTTATCGT